ATAGATTTTCGATTTCTTACTCTCTCTCTCTTCTTCTGGCACCCCCAAGATGCAAATGTTGGCACGCTTGAAGTTGTCCCAGAGGCTCCTTACGCTATCCTCATTTTTTTAAAATTCTTTTTTCTTTTTGCTGTTCTGATTGAGTGTTTTTTACTTCCTTATATTCCAAATTGATGGTTTGCTTCTTGGCTTTACTTTGCTGTTGAGTCTGTGTAAATTATTCTTTATTTCAGTTAGTGCCTCCTTCATTTCTGACTGTGCATCCTTCATTTCTGACTGGTCCTTTTTTATGCTCTTGAGGCCCTCACTAAGATCACTGAGGTTCTCACTAAGTTCATTGAGCATCCTTATAAGCAGTATTTTGAACTCAGCATCTGTTAGGTTGCTTATCTCCATTTCACTTAGTTCTTTTCCTAGGGTTTTGTTCTGTTCTTTCATTGTCTCTTCATTTTGGTTGCCTCCCTGTGTTTGTCTTTATGTATTACTTAACGAGAGGTATGGGGGCTAGTTGAGACCAGATGCTGCTTGTTTGAAAGAATTTAGGAAAAACCTGAAGCGGGATCCAGGACAGGCCAATCCTATGGCTAAGCAACTGGCAACAACGTGGGTAGGCCTGAAAGTTGGGTGGGGCGGGGCCTCAGGAAATCACCAGGGCAGGGCTACCAGTGTGAGCCAGGCTGCTGGAGTCCCAGATATGGCAGCTGTCTGCCACCCCAGGGAAGGGCTCACCTAAGGAACAAAAGCTTCTGACAGCATGTTTGTCCCAGAGAAAGCCCCCTCTCCAGCCCTCGCTCCAGTGCCAAACAGTTCAGTTCTTCCCTGTATGTCTCTGGCGCCCCTCGAGCTGCCTCCCCTCCAAGCTTGGAGTAAGTCTGATAAGTCTGTGCGCAGGCCCTTTTAGAGGAGCTGCCTGGGACTCCAGCTGCCTCAGCCTCCCTGAGCCTCAGTTCCCGCTGAAGTTATGGGGACTCTCTTCCTGGCACTGGAACCCTGAGCGGGGTGCCTGGTGTGGGACGGGGACCCCTCAGTCCTCAGGGAGGACCTTCCCAGTCAAGGTAGCCTCCTGATTTTTATACGCCACATATGGGTGGGGACCAGCCCATCTACCTCCACCCCTCCTACCAGTCTTGATGTGGCTGCTGCTTTAGTTCCGCAGTTGTAGGACTTCCATCCAACTTGATTTCAGGCGGTTTTGAATGATGGTTGTTCTTTAGTTTAGTTGTAACTTTGATGTGGTTGTGGGAGGATGCGATACTGTGTTTACCTAAGCCGATCTTGACTGGAAGTCAGTTCTAGCTTTTTAAAAATTCTTGGTGGTGTAACCCAGGAGAATCAACCTCACTCGGACACAAAGTAATTTTGAATATTAGGAGCTTTATTACCTGTGAAGGGACTGCAGCACCCCGTAGCAGACTTCAGTCCTTTTATAATCAGGGTTAACCAAGCACTAATTAGCAAGTTTGTGACAGGGAGTTAGCCAGGTGCAATACATATATTCTTAACAGTTACAGTTTTATGGGGTAAAAGGAAGCTTCAGTTTCTCCTTATTTACAGCTGAAGGATGTTACTTTTCAAATTCCCAGTGGAGGTCAAACTCCGGTTAATTTCTCATGGGGGCTAAAGCCGCTTATAACACTTGGGTCAAAGCCAATAATAGCACCATATTCCAGGGTAGGAAGACTGAGCAATGTAGGTCAGCGAGTTTCATTTGTGCCACAGGTATTTTTCTTTTTTAATCCTGACTTGAGGATATTTATTCTATTTATCTTCAGACAGAGTGGGAGGAAAAGAGAAACATGTACATGAGAGGGACATCGCCTGGTTGCCTCCCACACGATCCCAACCAGGGCTGGGGGCGAACCACAATGAGGTACATATCCTTGACCAGAATCAAACCCATGACTCATTGGTCCAAGGGCTGACACTCTACCACTGAGCCAAGCTGGCCAGGGTGTCACAAGAATTTTTATTTATTATTGTAATCCTCACCCGAGGATTTTTTTTTCATTGATTTTTTTTTTTTTTTTTTTCAGATAGAGTGGGAAGGAGGGAGGGAGAAAGAGAGAGAGAAACATCTTTGTGAGAGAGACACATCTATTGGTTGCCTCCCACATGACCCCAACCAGGGCCAGGGATTGAACTGTAACCAAGATACATGCCCTTGACCAGAATCGAACCCGTGACTCTTTGGTATGTGGGCCAATGCTCTAACCTCTGAACCAAACTGGCCAGGGCTCCTCAAGAATTTTTTAAACATGAAGTACCAGGCTAGTCAGGGGCTTTGACCTCTTTTCCCTTCTATTGTCAGAAAAATGACAATAGCCCAGCCAGGTGGCTCAGTTGGTTGATTGTCGCCCTGTGCACCAATTCCCCAATTCCCAGTCAAGGGCACTACCTGGGTTGCAGGTTCAATCCCTGGCCCCAGTCGGGGTCATGCAGGAGGCAAGTAATCAATATTTCTCTCTCTCCCTCCCTCCTTCCACTCTATTTTTTTTTTTTTTTATCCTCACCTGAGGACATTTTTCCATCTTTTGTTCAGGTAGAGTGGGAGGGAGAGATAGGAACAGAGACAGAGAGAGAAACATTGACGTGAAAGGAACACATCGAGTGGCTGCCATCCGCACAACCGACCAGGGCCGGGGACAAACTGCAACCGAGGTACGTGCCCTTATCGGAAACTGAATCCGGGTCTCTCAGGACCGCAGGCCGACGCTCTAACCGCTGAACCAAACCGGCCAGGGCCTTCCACTCTATTTAAAAAACAAAAAAAATCAATGCAAAAATATCCTCAGGTGAGGATTAAAATTTAAAAAGGCAATGGAAATATCCTCGGGTGAGGATTTAAAAAAATAATAATAACAACCAACACAATAGCCATCCCATATGAATGAATCATAATTATAGCTATTTTGTCAAACTGGCAAAATATATATATTTTTGGTGTGCTGCAGAATTTTAGTAATTAGTTTATGTGTGCCATGAGAAAAAGGTTGAAAATTGCTGGTGTAGTTAAATCAATTCTCCCAATTTATAGGTTTAACACAATTATCCTAATGAATTTTTAAGTAATATCTTGAATTTAATTCTTATTCTGTGCCAAATTTTTCTGATTACAGATTTAATGCAGTTGCCAAACAAGGATTTTTTTATTTTTTTTTTAGTGGATGATAGTAACTACCCTTGTCATTTGACAAATATTGGATAGAGTGTTTGTTTTACTCTATGCCAGGTTCTGCACTCAGCCCTTTGCATGTTATTTCTTTTAACCCACAGAACAATTCTGTGTAGCAGATGATATTTTCTGTTTTCATGCCCAGAGAGTTCAGGTAATTGCCAAAGTCCCACAGTTTTTAATCAGCAGAGCTGGAATTTAGAAGCAAGTCTATATCCAAGAACCCTGTGTTCTTAACTGGTAAATTGGCTCTGATTTTCATTCTGAAGAATGAAGAGGCTGTAGGAGCTTCATCATTTTTTTTTAGACAAGAAAAAAGTGGGGGAACTGAATCAAGAGATACCAAACATTGTAAAATATTAAAAGCAGAGGAGCCCTGGGCTGTTTTGCTCAGCGGTTAGAGTGGTAGCCCAAGGACCAAAGAGCTGCGGGTTCAATTCCGGTCAAGAGCATGTATCTCAGCTGTGATTCGGTCCCTGGCCTTGGTCAAAATAGTGCAGGAGGCAACCAATTGATGTGTCTCTCTCACACTGATGCCCTCCCCCCCTTTATCTGAAGATAAATTGAAAAATATCCTGAGATGAGGGTTAAAAGAAATGAAATTATCTTGGTACTCATGCAGTTTTCGGTTGTATTTCATTTTTGATCAAGTAATTTTTAAACAGTATTCATTGCTATGTAGGTAGAAGACCATTTGGAGTAGGCTGATGGAAAGGTGAACTGAAAAACATTAAGCAATTTGCCAGGATATCTCAAAAGCCTTAACATTTTTTTTCTGTGCTTTTTTTTTTTTTTTTTTTTTAATCCTCACCCGAGGATATTTTTCCATTTTTTGTACAGATAGAATAGGAGGGGGAGAGAGAGAGAGAAACATCGACGTGAAGGGACACATCGAGTGGCTGCCACCCGCACGACCAACCAGGGCCGGGGACAAACTGCAACCGAAGTACATGCCCTTAGCGGGAACCGAACCCGGGTCTCTCTGGACCGCAGGCCGACGCTCTAACCGCTGAGCCAAACCGGCCAGGGCTTTTCTGTGCTTTGATCCAGCATTTAATTTGAGAGTTCAAGGAAAAAAAGTTGACAGAAATTTAGTCATAAAGAAGTTCATCACATTTCTTAATTAAAAGGAAAAAATCTTGTGTCCAAAATTAGAGGAATAGTTAAGTAAGTTATTTATGGAGTAGACGAGGAGTCACCAAGCTCACTCTAAAAAGCCAGATAGTATTTTAGATGCAGGACAGTGATTTTTCAACCAGTGTGCCACTAGAGTTTTTAAAACATGCAATACCTGACTTTAGTCAGGGGCACTGATCTCTTTTCCCTTAGATTGTCAAATTAAAAAATGACAACAGCCAATACAACAATAGCCATCCACTATAAATGAGTAAAAATTATACCTATTTTTTTGTCAGATTGGCAAAAAATATATATTTTGGTGTGCCTCAGAATTTTAGTAATTATATGTGCCATGAGATGAAAAAGGTTGGAAATTGCTGTTATAGACCATATGTTGTCTGTCTCAATTATTCAACACTGCTTCTTGAAAGCAGCTGTAGGCAATAGATAAGCCAATGGGCATGGCAGTGTTCCAACAAAACTTGACAAAAATGGGCAGAAGGCTAGATTTGGCTCACAGGCCAGAATTTGCTAACCACTGAGATATACTATAATGCTATTGTGTTTTGGTAGTCTACTAACTGGGAAAAGATGGATTCAAAGCATAATACAAAGGATTAATATCCAAACTGTAAAAAATAGGACACCTTATTTTATTATGCTTTGCTTTATTGCATTTCACAGATGCTGCATTTTTTACAAAATGAAGGCAGGACCCTCCACCAGCACAAAGATCACAATTCGCTTTATGCGGCGATCTGGAACCAAACGCACAATATCTGTGAGGTAAACTCTTTTAAATTATTAAGAGATCCAATAGAAAAATGACTAAAGAATATAGACAGGCAATTTACACAAGAGGAAAGTCCAATAAAATTTGGGGAAAAGATGTCTAACGTTCCTAAAATTTGGGGAATGCAAAGTTAAAATTTGCTGCGCATTTATTTTACTCAAGGGGACATATTTAAGAATGTTGTAAGTAAGTAGTCTTTATAATAGTAAAAAAAAAAAAAAAAGAAAAGAAACCAACTACCTACTTGTTCAACAGGAAAAGAGTTAGTTGTTTATATAGTAAACTAATGAAAAGGACCAGGAGCTGCATGTATCAACATGGATGAGTCTCAAAATTGAGCAAATAATTTGAGTAGCAGAATACATGTAGTTTGACATCATTTTTTTTTTCTTGTTAATCCTCACCCAAGGATATTTTTTCCATTGTTTTTTAGAGAGAGTAGAAGGGAGGGAAGGAGGAGGGGAAAAAGAGAGAAATATCCACGTTAGAGAGACACATCAATTGGTTGCCTCCTGCATGAGCCCTGACTGGGGTGGGGGATCGAACCTGCAACCCAAGTATGTGCCCTTGACCATGAATTGATCCCAAGATCCTTTGGTGCACGGGGCCGATTCTCTAACCATGGAGCTATACTGGCCAGGGCTTGACATCATTTTTTATATAAAATATTACATAGTTTTCAAAGCTTTACTTGAAAATTTGATTTAAGGAAAATAAGTATTAATCTAAGTAATATCACTTCAGCTACATTATCTCTGAAAATGACATTGGTGAGTGGGCACAAGAGGTAGACATTTGCCTTATGTTTTTTAAAATGTCAAGCCTAGCCCTGGCCGGTTTGGCTCAGTGGTTGGAGCATCCGCCTGCGGACCAGAGAGTCCTGGGTTCGGTTCCCACTAGGGGCACATACCAAATAATAATAATAATAATATAATAATAATAATAAAACAAAAATGTCAAGCCTTCTAGAAAAGTCTCAGAGGCCATCCGCTGTCAGCCTGTGGTGTGCTGGTAAATGTTTAACAATTTGCAGCATTTGTTGACTTTTCTACTAGACCTATTTTGCTATGGTCCTGACAAGATGATGCAGAATTAGAGGTATGCTTGGGTTGGTTGCTTGATGCAGTTTGGGAGAGATACAGTGATGGGTATGAAAATCAATAAAACCCTAGCTCTAAGTGGTTCACATGGTCTTCATTTGTAGGCTTTCTGGCCAGTTCTCAATTTCTGACTTCCTGAGCCAAATTTTCTTGGGACTAACTGTCCAAGGAAAACCTATGCTCTCATCCTCTTATTGCTTCTACAGTCAATTTTACCCACTTTGCTACCTCTGGCTGCCTGTTTTAGTGACAGAGAGGCAAAAGTTATAACTTAAGCTGACAGTTTACCAAGGTTTATATTGATATGTCCCTGAGCCTTCTACTCTGGAGAACATCTTGGGTTGATTTGGTGCTTTTGAAAAAATTAGCCTTTCTTTCCACAACAGGAATCATTTTCATTCTAGAAGCCAAAATATATGAAAAAGCAACTGATAAGTTCCAAGACTAGAGCTTCAGTTTTCTTTTGTGTCTTGATATGTGGGCAGTTTAATGGTCATTCATCAGCTACCCTTTTTCCTGTAAGATCTTTCTAAATCAGGGAAGAGATTTAGACTCCAGGAGAGTGTTTCCAATTAATTAAGTCACTTCTTGTCACAAACTGATCTACAGCTCTGCACAGTCTAACTCTAGGTTCTACTCTGTAGTTTTAAGATTTGAGCCAGGGGCCTGGCACTTGTTTTTATTGGGCATTTCCCCTTAATTGTGCAAAGGTAAAGCATTTGGCAATTGTTTTTTGTTTCTTCTTGCTAGAAATATGTCATCTGAAGGATTTGGCTAACATGAATCTTAATGTACTGGTAGATTAAAGGAACCTAATAAACTTTTTTTAGGGAACTGTATTAGGGTTCTTCAAAAAAACAAAACCAATAGGAGATGTATACACACACACACACACACACACACATACATATATATTCATATATATAATTTATTATAATATATTGGTTCATAACTATAGAGGCCAAGAAGTTCTTTAATCTTCCATCTGCAAGTTGGAGACTCAAGAAAGACATTGATGTAGTCCCAGTCAGTCCAAAGACCTGAGAATCAATGCTGTAAATCAAAGTCCAGAGGCTTGAGAACTGGGATTGCTGATAGTGATGTAAATTCCAGTCTGAGGGCAGGAGAAGGCTGATGTTCAGCTCAAACAGGCAGAGAAAGCAAATTCTGTCTTTCTCCACCTTTTTCTATTCAGGCCTTCAACAAATTGGATGAAGCCCTCTTTCATTGGGCAGGGCAATCTGCTTTACACAGTCTACCAACTCAAATGCTAATCTCATGCGGAAACACCTTCACAGACACACCCAGATATAATGGTTAACCAAATATCTGAGCACCCCAAGACCCATTCAAGTTGATATAAAATTAACCATCACAGGGACCAATTCTTTACATCTTGATCAACTCTTCACTTGCATATCTATTCTTCACCACGTCACCATCTCAAATCCAGTTTCTCCCACCCTCTAAGCTGTAGTCTTCCCTTTGAGAGTATATCTTCTCTGTATACTTACACTTTTTTTGTGTAACATGGATGATTGTATGCATAGCTCTTTTGTTGGCATCCAATTTAGAAAAAAGAAACATTCTGCTAAAAACATATTGTACTCCAATGAGATTATGTTTATTTTGGCCAAATTCTTTTTGGATTATTTTTATGTCACATTTCTTGTGGATTATATTTCAGTAAGAAATCATGTGCTTAAGCTTCCTAATCATATTTTGATAATAGATTGCCAACTCTTACTAAATATTCTCATAAAATGGCAATGCTCAGGGAATATCCATGAAAATTTTAACCTAAAAATTATCTTTTATATAAGGACAACGTGTCTCTTCCTCTTTCCACATTTCTACCTGAACCCATAAAGTAGAATAGATCCCATAAAATACTGAGGCTTGGTCATTTTGTTTGCCTCATTCCCACAGCAGCCTGTTTTCTGTTGACATTCCTTTGGGGCATCTGTCAAAAGGCAGACAAGGAAGTCTTCCATACTATATGCCTTTCTGTTGTGTGTGATCTACACAATGGGTAAACCGGGTTTTTTTGTTTGTTTGTTTTAAAAGATTTTTTTTTTCCTTTATTGACTTTAGAGAGAGGAAGTGAGAGGGAGAGAGATAAAAACATCCAACGAGAGAAAACATCGATTGTCTGCCTCCTGCATGCCCCCTACTGGGGATCGAGCCCACAACCTGGGCATGTGTCCTGACTGGGAATCCAACCGGTGACCTCTTGGTGCATGGGTCGACGTTCAACCACTGAGCCACACCAGCCAGCCTGTTTTTGTTTTTTTTTAACTCATCTTTATTGTTGAATGTATTACAGATGTGCCCCCCTTTTTTCCTCATTGACCCCTCCTCCCCAATCCCACCTCCTCCTGCTTCCCCACACTATTGTCAGTGTCCATTGGTTGTGCATATATGCATAGAAGTTCTTTGGTTTATCTCATCCTGCCCTCCTTTCCCCCTTCCCTTTGAGGTTCATCAGTCTAACAACCAATCTGTACTTAATTCCTTCACCTTTTTCACCCATCCCCCAGTCCCCTCCCATCTGGCAACCAACAAAAAGTTCTCTGTATCTATGAGTCTGTTTCTGTTTTGCTTGCTCATTTTGTTTGTAGATTCAATTGTTGATAGGTATGTATTAATTGCCATTTTATTGTTTATATTTTTGTTCTTCTTCTCCTTCAAGAAGACCCTTCAACATTTCATATAATACTGGTTTGATGGTGGGGTAAACTGTTTTTTTTTTAATCTACCTTTATCACTAATAAAGCAGGTAATCTGACCCCATCTGTATTCTCAATTTTATTCAAAACCCAGAGATAAGATATGGTTGATTGGCACTTTTGAAACCCCAGATAGAATTCTAATAAATGAATCTGGTCACAAATTCCTTTCCTTATGTAGTATTTGTGACATACAAGCATACATACATCTAGTTGCCTATTCATCCCTGTTTTATTTAAAGATAGATTGAGGTCAACTATGAGCCAGAAAATTATAAATCTGAAATTTTGGAGACCTCAGGTGAAATGGGTTCTGTAACATACACTGTTAGTTATCAACCCAATATCCATTCTCTGTCTGCTCTTACTCATAGAACTCAATTTTGTTGGAAATAGAAATGTGTCTACCTTCAAATGCTTTATTTTCCCATCCACTTTGTACTTAGCAGGAACCCTTTGACTAATTAACCATATGTAAATGGAAGTCTCTCATGAGGGCATCTGAAAAAATTATTTTCAGATAAAAAGGGATAGGCTCATTTGAATTGGGCGTTATACTTTTAAATTTTATTTATTTATTTATTTATTTATTTATTTATTTATTTATTTATTTATTTATTTATTTATGTTACAGTGCAGGCTCAGGTCCTGCTGGTTCCCAGGATCAACCAATCCTCTTGCTACAAACTCTGCCCTGCCCTAGGCTCTAGGCCAGAGGGACATCAGAAGCTCCAGCCAAGCACTCTGGGATTCTGCCTGGGGGCACCCTTGATGTCTTAGTTTTGGCTGCTAAATCTTTGACTTTTACCCTGTGTTTGCTTTGGGGACCTTTAACCTAGATGGTGTTATGCTTTTTATTTTTAATTGAAGTATAAATAACATACAGCATATTAGTTGTACAACGTAATGAATTGGTATTTGTTCATAGTATTGTGAAATGGTCATCACAAAGTCTAGTTAATATCCATTACCATAAAGAATATTTTTTTTGTGATGAGAGATTTTAAGATTTACTCTCTAAGCGACTTTCTAATATGCAATACATATTACTAACTATAGTCACCATGCTGTGCGTTATCTCCCCATGACTTATTTTATAACTGGAATTTTGTACCTTGTGACTCCAGGCACCCATTTTGCCCACTCCCCACACCCTGCCTCTGG